ATTTAGGATGGGTTGAGTACTTGTTTAAACATTCAGTATTGCTGTCCTTATTCTTCCCTGTACAAGTCTGCATCTGAAATGTGTCAAACAAGGGACTGAGGAAAGATCTGTACAAGGGATGTGTGAGGGACAAAATGGGCACTATGGTCCTGTCCTTCTTAAGTAGGAATTTACAGAAGTGGGTAACATCTGGCAACAACCTGTGTTCTTTTTGGGGAAGGGTATAATGTCTCTAAAAGACACCACAAAATGAGGTCCACACTGTTGGACCTTCTTGCCCTTCCCAAGATACAGAAACTGTAGAGATGAATAAGCCACTTTATCTGCTCTTATGGTTGCATGTGGCTTGTGGGGGCAGCTGGGAGCACACACAGGCCAAACCAATTTTCCTGATTTTCCTGGCTTCTGCAGCAGCCCACACACGGCCACCATCCCATCCCAGCCCCTGGGGCTCCACACAGGTCCTGCTTGCAGGACAAGCAGAGTCCCCAACCAAGACCATTGCTGGAAGCCTCATGCTAGAACAATGTTCAGCTCATGGCCTCCTCCCTGCCACATTCACATTTTCTGAAAAACCCCTTCGCCCAGGATTTTGCTCCTGGGAAGCTGAGAAGCCTCAGAGAAAAAGGAAAACAAATTCTTATCCCATTTGCTTCTCCTGTGTTGTGCTCACATGTGGAATGTGTTTGGAGATTGTTTACCCACAGGTGATTGTTTCATGTGAGTTGTTTTGACTCAATGACCAATCAGGGCCAAGCTGTGTCAGGACTCTGAAGAGAGGCACAGGTTTTCATTATTATCTTTTTAGCCTTCTGTAAGTATCCTTTAGTATAGTTTAGTATAGCATTCTTTAATATAATATAGTATCATAAAATAATAAATTAGCCTTCTGAGAACATGGAGTCAGATTCATCATTCCTTCCTGTGTCTGTGGGCAACTCAAATACAACGTCCCTGCACATCCTGAATTCCTTCTGGAAATGACAGCTGCTGAGAGTGCAGGAGCCCATCTGACCAACCCTAGAGCAGACCTGGAGCACAGAGTGCAGTAACTGCACAGCCATGGATTAGTGAAGAACAATGAGCCCAACTTCTGTGGCAATCACTGGACCTTCCCCGTCCCCACTAAATGTTCAGCTTGCCCACGGGTCCTGCCATGTGACGGGAGAAACACCACATGAGGTTCTGCTCTCGGATTTACAAAACCTGAGTAACCCAGTCAGCTAAAACCATCTGGCTCCCCTGTTGTGTACGAGTTCAGGTTATAAAGCAATTTCTATTCAGCTCTAACTGTACAGATCCCACACTGGTATTTTTCATGTTGTTCCTAATCAAGATGAACTCACTGGTTTTACTGCGTGCTTCATTTTGTTTTGTTTTTCAAACATGAGGAAAATATTTCCAACAATTTTCAAAATTTTTGTGTTTTTTTAAAGGGAAAACATGTCTCTTCCTCTACTCTTAGGACATTCAAAGCATCCCTTTCCTTGTCAAAACCAGACATGACTTACTGCTGAAACTTGAAAGGAAGCATGAAAATATTTTTCCATGAGAACAAGAGCCTCTACTTGGCAAGAAAAATAGTCAAAAATGTTCTCTAAAGTGATGAGCTTTGGAAAACCTACAGTCTGCATATAGGAGAAAGGAAAATCCCATTCCTGTGATAACCATGCCTACCAACAGAGCTGGACAGGAATGTAGGTCTGGGATGGGCAAATTTTCCATTTATAGATGAGATGGGTTTGGATGCTGGCCATGGTGTTCTTCCTATTTAATTGAGGTTGCCTCTCCCCTCATTACAAAGCCCACTCTCCCACAGAAACAACTGAGAAGGTTTGGTCTGTGCTATGCTTTGGTACCTGTTCTTTTTACAGGGCTTGACTTAGAGAAAATCAAGCAGAGTATTTGCCAGTCCCACATTAATCCACCTCTCCAGTCTGTGATCAGAAGGTTTCTTTTAACAAGTTAAAGAAAAGACACAAAAGACACTGACATGTTTCTGCTCCCACAGCAACCAGTCCTGGCCTGTGCAAGGAAGTTGTAATTTAATTAAACCATTTCAAAAGCTGACATTGTTAAATTAATGTGAAGTCTTTAGGAGGATAAATGTTATTTTGCTGGAGTAGTTTCTACAGTTTTAACTGAAGTGGTGAGGAAGGGATTTAAGCTAAATCAATACACAGTATATTTCAACTGATATGTGTCCAAAAAAGGCATTTGCATCAGCATAATGAAAAAGTGCAAGATTTTCATGTAGACAAGAGTCAGAAGAAAATATAACTATATTATTCTTTGGGAATATCATGAACATGCCTTGTTTTGCCCTTGTCTGCTGTCAACACCTCCTCCACTGCCTCCAGGGGTCTGCTCCCCACTGCCTGACAGTTTTATTAACTATATCTTCCTGTCCTGTTTACCCTCAGGTACCCACTTGTTGGCAAGTTACACTTCTCTTTATCACCAAACCACCACCCTATTTGATGTAGTTCTCAAGAACTGCAGCTTCCTGCACTTCTGCTAAGTTAAAAGGTTCCTCTTCAGGGTAGTTTCAACTTGGTGTTCCCCAGATTTTCCCCTTTCCTCTATTTGTAACAGGAAAAGTTACTCCAGCTTCAGAACACAACAGGCTGGGTTTTTCTCAGAACCCAAAATATATTGTTTCAGTCTTCTGAAACAACTTCTGCTGTGCCCAGTGCTTGGAAAGGTCAGACTGTGACTACTCCTTCCGGAAAGCCCTTCTTGCTCCAGAAGGTAACACGCAGTGAGTGAGAAAAAGTATTAAAAATGCCATTTTGAGTAGTTACTTTCTCAGCTTTGCATGATATCCCAGCACCTCTTGAGCTCACTGGTTTAGACTGCAGAGTGGGGAATGTCCTTGGGAAGAAGGAAAAGGTCAATCCTTCTTCTTTCTGTTCTTGGTTTGTCCCCCAGAGTCCAGCATGGCCAGGCCAGCACTGGGATGCAGAGTGAGGAATTTTCTGTGCCCATTTTGCTGAGCCACCACTGCTGCTGCAGGGGAAACACAGGGGATCTCTGGGGATGAGGCACAGTGCTGAAATCACAACATGCAGCCACTCTGAGCACACCAACATGCAGAATAGGTTAGGCAGAGTTTGGTGCTGCACTGGCAGAACAAAGAGCTGGCACTGTTGGCAGACATTTTAACAAATGGCTCGTTTCCATGCTGCTGAATCCATGGCAAACTTCCCAATGGAAGCAGCCCCTGGCTGCAAATGTGCAGTTAACAGCCCAGGTCTGTGCAGCACACTCTGCTTCCCACCAGCTGCACATGGCCCACAGTCCCCACAGCTTTAGGAAATGCACCCATACTAAATTTTAGGTAGTCCTCCTGCTTCTCCTCGGACATAAATGTTGAAGGTAAGTGCCTTGTTAACAGGAGGGAGAAAACAGACTTGATTTCCTCTCCACGTGCAAAATAACACTTAAAAGTGCAAGTTTTGGAACATCTTTGAGACAAGTGATGAGCTGAAGCAGGAGACTGTCTCATACATTTCAGTGCAAAAGACAGCAGGGAAAAGGAAATTCTTTTTTTGTGTCTTTAATTTAAGGATCAGACAATTCAGAAAATTGGTATGTTAGTGATAGCTGGCTAATTTCCTCTTAAAACCCATGTTTTTAACTTTTGAGTCCCTACCAGAAACTTTTCAAGTCTATTTATTACAAATGTAAGCCACCTTGATTTTTTTTCTTCTTATCCTTTTTTAGGAAAAGAGGCAGAGGAAGAAAGACCTTCCAACTTCTCCTTATTACAAAATCTAAGGAATACAATACCCAATTCAATCTGCTGAGTAAAGACTGAAGAAATCCAAAAGCTGTGGCCACACACACAAGTTTAACTCTGCCCCCGTGTGTGCAAACATTAAAACACATCCATCCACCCTGGATCCTGCTCTGGTTTTGTGCTAAAGGGTTTGTTAGTTTGTGGCAGTAATAATATATGGCATTCCAAATGACTATGAAGCTATAGGACACCTTTTCTCTTCTACACTCACATGTCTTTGTATTATTAAACTCTTTTATGGCTGCGCTGGCTGCTAAAAAAAACAAGCCATAGAGATATGCCTGCTGCCCACAATAATAAAACAAGGAAAAAAGAAGAAAAGAAGAAAAAGCAGTTCTGGAATTTTACCAGAGGCATGATCCTGTTAAGACTAGGGAAAAACAGGGACTTAATTTTACTTCTCACATTTGGCATGCCTGCCCTGTGTGAACTTCCCTGTTCTACACTGTGCCTCCCCTTTCAGCCTGAGGAGTGGATACCAGCACCTTTGGAGAGGGTGCAAAAAAAGGAACTCTGTCCTCTGCAGCCTCACAATGAGGTTTCCCCAGCATCAGCACACAAGGTGACAAAGCTCTGTCAATGTGGGACCAGCCCAGGCCACCAGCACTCTGGTGGGGACACACCAAGGGCTCAGCCCACACTCACACACCCAGCAGTGAGGGAGCAGCTCTGGAAATGAGGGACCTCTGCAACACACCGTGTCCTGGGACTGGGCAGGAATGAAACCTGGGCACTTTCAGTGCATGAAACCTGGGCTCTTTCACTGAACAAAACCTTCTCTCTCAGGAAATCTACAGGAGGAATTGCAACAGGGCATCAGAACACTCAGCACATGGCACAAGAGAGACACAGGGTTGGGACAGGGCACTGCAGGAGCTGATCCCAGCAGAAACACCAGCCTGATCAGGACACACCTGCCCTCAAGCCTTATCTTTTGATAAGGGAAAGGTCCGCAGGGCGCGCTGCTGCCACGCCCCGAGTAAATCACCTTGTCAATTTTTAATTGATTTCAGCTTTCACATTAACCTTTGTGAGCTGGGTGTACAGGGGAAAAGCCACAGCCTTGTTTGCTGCATATGGGAGGACCCAGAGCAGCAGTGACAGCCCAGCATTGTCCCCTGCCTTGGCCAGTGGCCACTGTAAAACCAGAGAGGCAAGAGGCAGCTGTGGTGAGGCAGCCAGGAGGGAGTGCAAGACCATGGCCACCCATGTGCAGCTGAACACCTCTGCCAAGATGCCCCTCGTGGGGCTGGGCACCTGGAAGGTAAGAGAGAGCAAAGCACCTGTACTGCAGAGCTCCCAAAAACCTGCAGTGCCCCTGGTCCAGCTCTGGAGAGCTGTCCTGGTGCCTGGGGCTCTGTTCTGCCTGGCTGCTGGGCTGAGAGTGAGTTGGAGTGGAGCTACAGATAAATGGCTGCAGGTTGATTTCCAACCCTGGAGTCCATGTTTATCACTGCAAGAAATAGTGTTTATGTAAAGGGAAAAAAAACCAACCCACCAACGTGTATTGGGGGGGGATTTATTTCCTTAACATGGTTTTATTTTGCTAGAATACAGATGTTTAACAAGCACTGCTTTGAGATTCTTAATATTTATGCATTTTTCCAGTCTGCAGCTGGGCAGGTAAAGGCTGCAATGACGGCTGCCATCGATGCCGGGTACCGCCACTTCGACTGTGCCTACGCCTACCTGAACGAGAATGAGATTGGGGAAGGGATCCAGCAGAAAATCAAGGAAGGAGTTGTGAAAAGAGAAGATCTCTTCGTTGTCAGCAAGGTAAGGATCCAATGATCCTGGAGCACAGCTGAGGGTATGCTTTGTGTGGAGCATTTTCCTAGCAGGAAGGTAAGTAATGGAGACAAACATGATGCTGTAGGATAAAGCAAATCAGAGCAGCGTTCAGGTCACTCCTGACACAAGCTTACAGCCTCACCCCATCCTGCAGGGAGAGCTAGGAAGGATACACTGTGTCTGCACCCTGCTGTGACCCAGCAGTCCTGGGGGATGGATTGATTCCTGCAAAAGAAGGGAAGCAGGAAAAGGCAGAGGGGACCAGGTGGCCCCAAGCAAGGAAGCGATGCAGAGGTCAGAGAGCGCCCAGTGCCATTAGCAGCTTGCTGATGACACCTTGCTGATGCTAAAGCACAGCAGAGCACACAGTGCTCACAGTGCTGTCACTGCCTGCTGCTTTTTCCAGCAGCTGGGTTCAGAGCACTGCCAAAGGGGTGTCCCTGCCATGGGAGGAATTGTTCTGGGCACCTTGGGACACTGTAATCAGCTCAGCACGTGTCCCAGGGAAGGGGAGGTTGGTGAGTTTTCTTTCTTGTTACAAAAATCAGACATCAGCAAATACTTAGCTGGAATCTGGAGTTAATTCTTACCTAAGTAAAGTTGGTGGCAACCAGTCTTTGTGACTTGTCCTGTACCTTCTTGGCTTTGCCTGCTACATGCAGTGCAGAGTTCTGTGCATGCTCAGGAACAACGCTCAGGTACAGCACTGCCTCTGGAAGCCCCCTACAGCCAAGGCACATCCTGGGGAAAGGGGTAGCACAAAAGATGGGTGAGCTCATGGAACCAGAGACTGGCACTGACAGACACTGCCCCCAGAGCCACAGGCCAGGCCCAGCCCAGAGCCTGCCACATCTGACAAGCACTAGGCTGGCCTCATGTCACATCACCTTGCAAAGAACAGGGAGCATTGCTGTGCTGTGCAGGAGAGCACCCAGAGCATTAACCAGGAGCTCACATCTGCCCTTTTTGTCTCCAGCTGTGGTGCACCTTCCATGAGAAGCATCTGGTGAAGGGAGCCTGCCAGAAGAGTCTTGCCAAGCTGAAGCTGGATTACCTGGACCTCTACCTCATGCACTGGCCCTTTGGCTACAAGGTACAGTAGCAGCAGGTCTTTTTGAAATCCTGGGAGATTGCAGGGAGAATTCCTGGGAGAGCTCCTCAGCAGAGCCAGGAGCACTGCTGCAGAAAGAGCCTGTGCCTGCTGTGCCCCTGATCTCTGCCCCAGTGCTGCACAGTGTCCTCTGCCCTCCTGATAACAGAGGCAGCCCCAGCAACAAGGTCAGGCCTCTGGCTGCAAGCAAAAGCTGTGCCTCTTTCCCTTTCCTTTACAGAGGGGTACAGTTTGATGCTTGACAGGAATTCTTTCCTTCGCAGGTTGCAGAATCACACAGTGGAAGTAAACATTTCCATTTCCCATTTCTCTCTTTGATCACCAAATTGTTAATACAGTACAGTTTCAGCTGACCTTGCCTGTAGGAGCCTTAGTGTTGTTTCACAGACTTTGGATTTCAAGAAGATACCTATCAAAATCTGTATTCTACCTTATGCTTTTGAGCTCAACTCCATTCCTCCAATATTGTTTTAGTTAGCTTTACATGGACAAAGTTGTCAAGTGAAACTGCACAATATTGTGGCATTTAGATAATTCCAATAGTTCAAAATACTTTGGCCATACTGTCTAGTCACAAGCTGTTATAAACTTTCCAATACAGCAATTTCAACAGTGAGCCTCCCCATGGGACATCTGTCAGCAGATGCACTCCAGTATAAATGTCTGTGTTCACAGGGCCAAAGTCAATCCTCCACAGAGCTGTTTAAAAACACCTAAAGAAACTGTTATTTGAACAATACATGGAGTGAACTCATGTAAGACTCCAGAACATGGTTCTATATGTTAACTACTTCCCTGCATGCACTTTCTGGATCATTACTTGAGAGGGTCCAGCAGAAACACCTGTCTTTATTGGGATAATAGATGACAAAAATGCATGAACTAAGAGGTGACTGAAGAACTAGTTAAGTTATGGTGAGAATTATTTGATTTTTTTAATGCAGTATTAGCTTTAGCTCCTTACATCCCTGTTGGGTGATTTCACACAGCTAGTGTCTCAGCAGAGATTATTTCAAGCCTTTTCTCTCTCTCTAACAGGCTGGAGAGGAATTGTTTCCCAAAGATGACCAAGGCATGGCCATACCCAGCAACAGTGATCTTCTACAGACGTGGGAGGTAAGTTCAGCCAGAGCAGAAGAGGGATGCCCTCTGTCCTCATCAGTCTTTGCCATGCTCCCATTACCTTCAGCAGTCACAGATCTGTTGTCTTGTTCTCACAAAATTACCTGGAAGGAACATAAGGCAGCACAAAACAGCTTTTCATAATGGGCATGCTCAATCCTTCCCTGCCTATTCCTATTCTCTGAGCTCTTACTTGACTGGAGCTGCACAAGCACTTCCAGTGGAGCTGCACACCAGACTGAAACTAGAAAAAGTTCACTGTGGAACAATAACAACTGTACAATTGTTTTCACCACTGTTCTTGTGCCTTTCTTGAGTTGCTCAAACAAATTTCACAGAAATAAAGACATTTTAGGTTGAGATCTGGCCTGTAATGTGTGGGACAACCCTCCAAAGCTTGCACAACAGTAGAATACTGAGTATCATCACTTCTCCTCGTGCAACTCAGTGTAAATTTCTACACACTCAGGGAATGAGCATTTGGGCTTGGATGAGATGGCATTAATGTGCCAGCACCTGCTTTTCCCTCAGAGAACTTTGCAATTTCAAACTTTGTGCTGCTCATGGTGGGAAACAAGTCACATTAGGAAGGACATCATCATGAGCTGCCTTGCACACTGGATGATGATTTTGCTGTTTTAGGCCATGGAGGAGCTGGTGGACGCTGGCCTGGTAAAAGCCATTGGAGTCTCCAACTTCAACCGTGAGCAGATTGAAAGAATCTTGAACAAGCCAGGACTGAAGCACAAACCTGCAAATGTCCAGGTGAGCTGCAAAGTGACTGCAGGTGACTGGATTTGTGGGATTATAAAGATCCATTTACAGTTGAATGAGGAGATGGGAAAAGGATGAACAGAGAAGACACAGCATGTACATTAAATCCCTCTCTGTGGACATTTCAGAGTACAGCATTGGGACACCTCTATTTTTTTTTTTTATCACCTTGCTCAGCCACTGTTTAAGGATGCTGGAGAAGTTCCCTGAAAACAGCCTTTCTGGAATAATGAAGAACCCAGAGATGAGCTTTGTGGAACACCCTCAAAAACTGTATAAGCCCTTTGTATCAAAATAGGTGGTTTAATACTAAGGATGGGTATTATCATGCAAGGATAATGTGAAATTAGGGGGGAAAAACAGCCTCTAATTGGACCAGGAGATAATTTGTGGAGCACAATGATACTGCAGCAGTTCTGCCACTGTCAAACTCTTTGTTTTGTGTTGGCAGATTGAATCTCATCCATACCTCACCCAGGAGAAGCTGATCAAGTACTGCCAGTCCAAAGGGCTGGCTGTGACTGCATACTGTCCCCTTGGCTCTCCTGACAGACCATGGTAAATTTGCTTTGCAATCTGCCAGGGAGGTGCTGGGGGTTATGACTGAAGCCCTGAGACTACACATACACCACTCATTTCTTATTTAAACACAGACCTCTCTTGCTGTGCTGAATCTTTCTGTGGAGCTTTCTGGCCACTGATTTGTTTCCTCTGTGTAGGGCTAAGCCTGAGGATCCTTCCCTGCTGGATGACCCCAAGATCAAAGAGATTGCAGCCAAGCACAACAAAACCCCAGCACAGGTGGGTACTCCTTCCCAATGTAGGAAAACAGAACTCCAGAAAGGGTAGAACCTCTGTCCCTTCCCCAGGAATTGTGGCACTCCTCTGATTTTTCCCTAACAATGCAGATTTTTTATTATATTACCTCCAGTACACACTATTAACTCTTAGGCCATCAAAAATATTCCTGACCACCTTCAGATGTCACTTCCCCTCTATAGTAGTCACAGGTGACCCCCGAGGCAGGAAATGATTGGTATCTGAATTTAAGGCTTTGGAATGTTGAACAGTCCTTTTATTAAAATTATATATTACATTACATTACATTATAGTATAGTATATTATACCACACTATATATGATATATAATATATTATATATCATATGTCATATATATTCTATGTTCTATATTATATATTATATATAGGCTACAAAGAATATTTAAGAATACTAAAGAAAACTCATGACTGTCTCCTGACAGCTTGGACTTGATACACTAATTAACATAAACAAAATTCTACTAGAATCTAATCAAGTAACCACTTTGGGTAAACAACCTCTAGAACACATTTTACATGAGTACAAACACAGGAGTAGTAAATGAGGTAAGAATTGTTTTCAATTCTTTTCTCTGTGTCTCTCACAGTTTCTCTCTGTTCAGAGGGCATGTGAATAACACATCCCTGTGAAGTCCTCTTGCAGAGAATGTAAACCTTGCACAGACTGCTAAAATCCCAAACAAAAGGAATGGAGGGCCCCAAACCTGGATGGCAAGGGAGGTTTCCTGTGAGGCTTCACCCCTTCCCTCTTTGCTCTCTGGGCAGAGCAGCCTGGACTGCAGGGCCAGGGATGGTTTGAAATGCAGCTCTGCAGAAGTGGGGAGAGCTCAGGGAAAGCAGCTGTTGGAACAGGAGCAATGATTCAGTTGTCTCTTTTTGCAGGTTCTCCTTCGCTTCCAGATCCAGAGGAATGTGATTGTGATTCCCAAATCTGTCACCCCACAGCGCATTGTGGAGAACTTCCAGGTGAGGGATCAGGAGTGAGCAGGGGCTGCCCTCAGGGATGTTTGGATCCTTTATCACCCTTGCCATGGGCTCCTGCAGCAAGAGGATGGACTTCTTCCTGCTTAATACACTTCACTGAGTGTTAAACCAGGCCTACTTCTTGAGAGTTTAATCAGAAATCCTTACATGATATCATTCCCTGTTCCATGGCTTGTGGATGGATGAGTGTTTGTGAGGGTCCCCAGGACAAGGGAAGAGATGAATCTGACTCCATGTCTCAGAAGGCTTATATTATATTATATTATATTATATTATATTATATTATATTATATTATATTATATTATATTATATTATATATGCTATACTAAAACTATACTAAAGAAAGAGAGAGGATACATCAGAAGGTTTAACAAGAATGAATAATAAAAACCCGTGACTGACTCAGAGTCCGACACAGCTGGACCCTGATTGCTCATGAATTAAAAACAATTCACATGCTGGATAAACAATCTCCAAATTACATTCCAGAGCAGCAAAACAGGGAGAAGCTGAAGCTTCTCATCTTCCCAGGAGAAGAAATCCTGGCAAAGGGATTTTTCAGAAAATATCATGGTCACAGCTTGCTTGGAATCCCCACACAGAAACATGCCAGAATCTTATCTAGAATCAGCGATGTTCATAAAATAATCGCTTTTGTCCATAAAACAAGTTGTTCTTCATAATTCAGTGATCCATGTGTGAAAATGGAGCAGTGTGGAGCTGCTCCTGTGTTTCTCTTAGGTTTGTTCAAAGAAGTGATTTCCACCTGTATCTCTAATTAGGTGTTTGACTTTGAACTGACTAAAGAGGAGATGGCAACTATTCTGTCCTTCAACAGAAACTGGAGGATCTGTCAAATGAAAGTGTAAGTGATGCTGCTTGTTTTCTTCCAAATCTTAAATTCTGAATATTCTTTACAAGGAATTTTGTGTCACATCTTCTAGGTAACATGAAATTCAGTTTTTTTTTTAATTATGCCAACTCAAACTCCAACTGGTTTTGGTTTGTCCCAAAAAAATCACATTTTCAGGAGAGGGCTTAATATTTTCATTAAAAAAAATCAAAACTTAAACCAAAATACAAAAAAAAATTTAAAAATCAACATTTTTTTAATTTAAAAAAATCAAAAAACCCAAAATTTAAACCAAATTACATTGTAATTTTTAATTCTTAGTTTTCAAGAAACTCTCTTGAATTACAAAAAAATTGGGATGTTTAACTCATCTTTGTGTGTATTAGAGAAAGGAGAACATGTATCTCCACCTATTCTTGCTGTAACTCCACATCACATTTAGATCATGGGTGAAAATAATATTGTCACTTTCATGTCTTTCAGGTCCAAAAATCTCAAGGAATACCCTTTCCATGCGGAATACTGAAGGTGTGGGAAATATGGCCTTTACCAGACCTCTGGTGCCATCTGCCAGGGAAGTCATAGGATGTTTATCCCACAACATTTGGGGTTTTTGGAAGAAGGATAGAGTATTTTCTACAGCACCACTATTCACTGGTTGCCTTCAGTCTTGCATCAGCAGAAACCAGACGTTGACAAACACACCCCACAGATCCACAACTTCATCAGAGGTGTCTGCATTTTAAATAAAATTAACTTTAAAATGCAAAAACCTAATTGGTGGAAAGTTTTTTGTCTATTGTAGGAAAACCCAAAACCCTCCCACTCAGAGATGCCCAGAGGGGTGGGCTGCAGTCACTGCACTGTGGGGACACAGATCCTGCCTGGGACACTTGGTATTTTCCCCTGCCATCCCTCAGCACCCACCTTATCCCTTCCTCACCAGCCACAGCCCTGTTTTTAACAGACAAATACAAGAATTATCACAGATCTTGCAAAAAAACCTCTTGAGAAGACACTGAGAGATTGGTGGGACCTCAGAGAATGCTCCTGGCTTGATCTGAACTCAATGCAAGGAAGAGGCCAATATCTTAAAATCAGATTAAAACTCTACCCCCCTGTTTTATTCTTGCCTTAACAACCATCTGGAACTTGAACCTATGCACATCATTTAGCAAAGTAAATATTCTGTTCCAACATATACTCTATTTTCAAAGGCCCTGCCATCATCTGACAGCCCCAGCCACACCTTCAGGACAAAAACAAGTGTCACCTCCTGGGGACTGGCACGGTCTGGGCAAGGCAAACAAAGCAAAACACAAAACCTTCTGCCCAAAATCCTCTCTTAAAACCTTAAAACAACAAGGTGAATCTCACAGCATGCCTTGGGAAAAGCAAGAACCAGCCTTCACAGGAGAACATCAGTTCACAGAATGAAATGAGTGGAAGGACGAATTGCATTTCTCAGCCCTGCTCTCCTGTGTGGTTAAACTGCAACACCACATCCTGCAGAGGACAGCTGACAGCACTGCCAGAAACCTGGGGGAAGATTTAATTAAAAATAATTATCTTGTCTGCCTTCAGTGAAATGAAGCAAAAAAATCTTGGGTGGGAGAGGCATCCAGAGAAAACAGTATATATTTTAGATTTATGTTTGTACCTGAGGGAATTCCCCAAGCACAAGCAAACAGAAAAGCCTCCCAAGCAGCCCTGACGGGATATTATGGAGCACTTGCAGGATCCTGTTGATAAATTAATTTCTTTTTCATTGCACTTTCAACACCCCATCGTGTAGCATATTTTGCCTCTCCAAAATTGCCAAGTCCGTTTCTAAAGTGAAATTAAAAGGCCGCCTACTGTTTATTTGTACACTTGTATGTTTCCTTCTGAAATAGGGTCTGCGCTTCCGTAAAGACACAGGGACAACGCGATCGCTGTGATATTCGCTGTAAACTCAGAGAATGTTCTTCGGGAGTTTTGAAAAGACATTAAAACACGCTTTCCCTTAAAGGAAAAGCGTTTAAAAGGAAGTTATTTGTACTGATCGTTTCCGAAATGACTCGCAAACTCACCCCAGAGTGAAACTGTTTATGCCATGTTGGTGTCACTCAGGGAACCCAGCGGGCGTCAGAACACCCGGGGACATGGCACAAGGAGGATAAACACGGACACAGGGACAGAACGCTGCAGGAGCTGATCCCTGCAGGGACACCCCTGCACTCAGCCTTTATCCTTCCGTAAGGAATTTCACCCTTCTCCCGGGGGAACTCCCGGATTCCCTCCCACACGGGCTCCCTCCCACACGGATTCCCTCCGACACGGGCTCCCCCCTCACTACATCCCCCATGACCGCCCAGCGGGCTCCATAGCCTGCCGGCTCCGCTGCTGATTGGCTGGCGCGGCGGGCTCGCGCGGAACGAGGGCGCTGATTGGCTGCGGGCGCGGGGTAAACATGGCGGCCATGGCGGGGTACGTGCGGCTTGGGGCTGCCGCCAGCGCGCCCCTCATGGGGCTGGGCACATGGAAGGTGAGGCAGGCACCGCGCTGTGGGACGGGGCAGCGCCTGAGAATCCCTCAGGGAGACCTGTTCTGCCCTTTTTTCCCTCTCTAGTCCCCCCCAGGGAAGGTGACAGCTGCAGTGATGGCTGCTATCGATGCCGGGTACCGCCACTTCGACTGTGCCTATGTGTACCAGAACGAGAAGGAGGTTGGGGAGGGGATCCAGCAGAAAATCAAGGAAGGCGTGGTGAAACGAGAGGATCTGTTCGTGGTCAGTAAGGTATGGATCAGATACTCATGGATTATGGACACACTGGTTTTACCTGTGCTAGGAGCATCTAACATTTAACACAGTTAAACGCAGTAGCACTGAAGAAGTTTGTAAAGTAAATGAGTTAATTTTTGATACCCTTCTCTTGTTTCCTGTGCTGCCACACAGCCCAGCCTCACTGCGTGTGAAGAGCCCTGGGCAGGCCTCACTCCACAGCTCATTCCCAAGAACAGGGAGCATTGCTGTGCTGTGCAGGAGAGCCCTGCAGAGCTTTCCCCCAGGAGCTCACATCTGCCCTGTTTTTGTCTCCAGCTGTGGTGCACCTTCCATGAGAAGCCTCTGGTGAAGGGAGCCTGCCAGAAGACTCTTGCAGACCTGAAGCTGGCTTACCTGGATCTCTACCTTGTCCACTGGCCTTTTGGCTTCAAGGTACAATAGCAGCAATGCCTTTAACTTCATTTCTTTTGCCTGGCTTAACAGCCCAGCAATTGTTCTGGCTGATAATTACATGCCTGTTATCTGTGCCAGCACTGCTCTGGTGCTCCTCTTGACCCTGTGTGACTCAGGCTTTTGGTCTTTGCTCCAGAAGCAGCTGTTTTCATACCCTTTTGATCCTGGGAATGATGGCCTGAAAACCAGAGAAACTAGAAACAGCTCTCCCAGCTCCAAGCATAAGACAGGCTGCTTTCCTTTTCTCTTGCAAATCCAATGTGTGTTAATCTAAAAATCACCCCTTGTGGGAACAGGATTGCTTTTTGCTGCTTCTCTGCAGTTTTCCTTTGTGTGCTACAGAATCAGAGAGCAAAAGAAAGCATTGCTGTTTTCCATCTCTCTCTTTAATCACCAAGTCCTTAATGCAGTACAGATTGAGAAGCCTCAGTGTTGATCCACTGAGGCAGGAATTTAAAAGGTGAAATTTCTGTGAGAGTGTTTAGGAGTTGATGTCTGAGTCAATCAGTGAAGGATTTGATGTCTGAGTTTTAATATTTCTAGTCACAGCCTTTCTGTCCTCTCTGTCTGATCCCTCCCCATTCTACCTGTTGCCTTTGAGATGCTCATCTTTTTTGCATGCTTTGTTTTAGCTTTATATGAACAGAGCCATGAAAATGAAACTGTCTCATGGTGACAGCAGCAAACAGCTGCTAAACACAGCTCAGTCTTGGCATCTTTTCGTAACTTGTACACAAAGGCTCTTCCAGCTTTCCTAGTGGTGGTGGCTTTGCACTGAGTGTTGTCATGGAAAAGCTTCAGTGCACATAACAGCTCTTTTCAGTAGATCTGGTGTTGTGTAGACTAAAGTCTTGATGCCCCCATGGAAAAAGAATAAAAGCAATTCTTGCTAAGTGGGAACTAAAGAGCAGCCCCTGAAGGGAACACATGTGAGCCTGGAGGCGCAGCTCTGACTGGTTTGTTCCCTGTGGTGTTTGGGTGAGCCATCACTTCCAGGGGTCCAGCAGAAAAACCTGTCCTGCTGGGAGTGGTCACTGGCAAAAATGCCTTAAATTCCTTCCACTTCTCAGAAGGAATGACTGAGTGTAGACAAGAACCAGCACTCTTGCTCTAGAAGTGTAAGATATTGCAGTTGTGAGCACTCAAGTGGATTTGTCAAGAGATTTTCAAGCACTTTCTGTGTCACTGACAGGCAGGAGAGGATCTGTTCCCTGCAGATGACAAAGGCATGGCTGTCCCCAGCAACACAGATATCCTGCAGACGTGGGAGGTGAGTTCATCTCAAGTGGAAAAGTCACATCTCCTGTGCTCAGCAGTGCTGTTGGCTTCAGCAGCTGCAGAATGTTCAGCCATGCATGCAGAATTAATTGGAAAGAACTCACGGAAATACACGGTTTTAAAAATGTGGTTTAAAAAAATGTTCATTTTAAAAAATTGTTTAAAAATTTAAACATTGCTTCCCATGAAGACAAACAGAGCTTGTCAGGAAAAATGTGTTCAGTCATCTCTTAACCCACTGCATGCTGACTGTGCTCCCTTTTCTGCCAGGCCATGGAGGAGCTGGTGGATGCTGGCCTGGTAAAAGCCATTGGAATTTCCAACTTCAACCGTGAGCAGATTGAAAGAATCTTGAACAAGCCAGGACTGAAGTACAAACCTGCAAATAATCAGGTGAGCTGAATAATCAGGTGAGCTGAAGAGTGACTGCAGGGGAATGCTTCTCAGGGATTATAAAGGTCCAATTAGAGTTGAATGAGGAGGTGGGAAAAGGGAGAACAAAGTAGACAGAGCTTGTACTACAATTACAATCTTGTATTGTCACATAGGCCACCTGCAGGGTGGGGTGAAGGCAACCTCTAATTAGGAAATTAGGATTCAGAAAAACCTCTGCAGCAAGGGAAAACTACAGTAGTTTTACAGCTCTCAGTCTATGCTTCTGTGTTGGCAGATTGAGTCTCATCCATACCTTTCCCAGGAGAAGCTGATTGACTACTGCCACTCCAAAGGGATCACTGTGACAGCATACTGTCCCCTTGGACGTCCTGATGGGTAATTTCCAAGTGGGTTCATGTGATTTATGACTAACTGAGTAATGGTGCAGGTGTATATATATAATTTTTTTATTTTTTAATTGATGGGGCTAGATAGAATCTCTCTGAAGTGATTCTGTGTTGTTTCATCCTTTTCTCCCCCACTTTGTCTAGTTCTAAGCCAGATGCACCTTCCCTTCTGGATGACCCCAAGATCAAGGAGATTGCAGCCAAGCACAACAAAACCCCAGCACAGGTGGGTAGGTGCCAGACAGTGGATACCCCTTCCTG